GAGAGAGAGAGAGAGGAGCGAAGTAAAAAGCGGGTGCGAATGATTCACACCGTTGCTACCCTACCAGCACGAAACCGAATATACACATCGGAGCGTGAAGTACTCACGGAGAATCCGTGGCAACAAAATGGCGAAGATGGCCGACGAGAACGTGGACGAAGGGGCGAAAGGGGAGGTATGGACACCTCTCGCGATCCCCTCCCTCCCCCACCCCCGTGACAGCTTGTTATCTCGCTCGTGAGCTAGCAAGCGGCCGCTCGTTATCGACGAACAAACAAACGGACCCCTCCGTTTGCCTCTTTTCCACTCGATAGCCGGAGAGAGATTCTTTTCTCTCTCCTCTCTCTCTTTCTCTCTCTCTTTCTCGTTTTAGTTTTTCCGTCGAAAGAGTGAAAAACGTAGTAACTTTTGCTCTGCACGGTGGCGCCGCTTCGCTCGTGTGTATTCGCCCTCGCGCAGGAAATTCGTTTCAAGCGGACGCACAGTGAGTTTTCGACTATTTTTCTGGATTATAGATTGTAGAGGGGGATTGTGCAGTGCGCGTCGAATTATCACAGACTGGACAACGTGTCAGGATCGAAATCGTCGACCACAACGGATTTTTCGCTCGTCACCCTTCGAAGGTAGGAAAAGGAAGATTGGAATTCGGGGTTTTTTATTCAGATTGTTGTGTATTGACATCGACTGTGATTGCTAACCATGAAGCTGACCGTTTATGTCAATATCTGGGTTCATTCAAGATCGAACAATTTTTATTTAATATAATTTTTAAATCCAATTGATTACTTGTTATTTTGGAATGATATTTGGATTCTACAAAATTATAATTTTTATCGTCGAAATTTAAAATCGGATAGCATCGAAAATTTGATCAAGTACGAACGATACACTAAACGTGCCGCTAAGTGATCTAAATATTAATTGCGATCTTAACTTTGGAGATCGAACGAACCAATGAATTCTACGAGGTCATTGGCAAATTGGAATTCTCCGCATTTTTACCACGTGAAAAAATCCCGTTCGTAGAAAAAGATCCGAAAGAAACTGAACTCGCGATAAGTGTTGTCAGGAGTAAAAAGATTACTTGCCGTCGGTTTGAAAGGAAAGAGTGAGTGGAGTATGGTCGCGTGCTCGGTCCGGAAGTCGAAACTTGACATTGTCAAAGGGAAGTGTGACGCGAGTCACAGGTAAACACCAAGTTTGCCGGTTTTTTCTCGAGACGGACGAGGCGCGCCGTCCTCCCCCTTCCCCGTTTCTTCCTGTGTCGGACCATTCTCTTCCGTTCTTTTCTTCGACGTTCCTCGAGATTCCAACAGAAACGATTGTCGCTTTGCACTCGCACTCGCTCCAACTCGAGTTATCTGGCCAAAACGCGGCCGTGTCGCGTACCATAAAGGCTTCACTTTCTCTGCTCTTCCATCCACGACAATCCTTTTTCGATTGTCGACAGATCGTGTACTTACGTGTTACAGATCGTGATGAAGGAGACATTGATGAAGCAAGAGATCAAGCGCGAATGGGAGGAAAACAACGTGGACGAAGATTCGCCCAGGATGACCATGGTTGGAGCAAATCCGGATGAACAATCCGTCGAGAATCCCCGGACGGTGATCACAGCGAGAAGACACGTGCGCACCATCACCACGGCTGGTCATATAACCGAGACAGTGGTTGATCCGGAACCAGACTCACCCGATAATCTCCAATCGCAACGGCAACAGCAGCATCACCGATCGATGGATGAACAAGGACAGCAAACTCAATCGCGCACGTTTCAAGAGGAGCAAGATCAGGCATGCAAACAAAATTCGCAGAGTTATGTGCAAATTTCTCACACCGAAGCGGAAATTCAACAACAGGATCGTTCTCGAGAGCAACGAATAGTTTATTTGACGAGCAATGGACAAGAAGTGCGAGTCGTAGCAGAAGCGGTAGATCCGTCTACGTTGACGGTAAAAGAGACGGTTAGGTAAGTGAAAATCGATCATCCGAATATATTAGGCGACGAGGAAATAAATTGATATTATTAAAATTTTTATCAAAATAAAAAATATATTTTATACGAGGCAATTATTCACATCACAGCTTAATTCCTTTTCTTTTTCTGAATCTTTATCGATAATGCAATGAATACAAATGATACGCTCAAAGGTATGAGACATCAGAATCCGATGGGACAGATGCGGATCGCATGTACGCTTATCCGGCGGATGGCCAACAACAATTGCAAAGAGAGAATCATGGGGTCGCTGTTCAAGCGCAGGAAAGGCGAGTCGTCCAATCGGCCAATCATCAAAGATATAGTCCACGAGAAACTAACCAATCCGGTGGTGGAAATGGATCAACCGGTAGATCCTATCATCAAGGCTCACCAGTCCTAGTTCCAACTAGGGAGGAGTACGAGGGTGGCGCCCCCATAGTTTCTCATGCAGGGACAACCGTTACCGTGCGACTCGATTCGCCCACAGCGCCCTCTTATTCTCCGCCAATGAATGACATCGGTATTCGAACGAGTGCTGGACTTCAACAATCAACTGGTCAGCATCATCAACATCAACTTGTCACAGGATACGTGAACGCTGCAGGAGTAAATATCAAGTACGAAACACCGGAAACATCAAACGCCGCAGTAGTAGCAGCGGCTGCTGCTGCGATTCCAGTCGACAACATCAAAGTATCGAACACGTACACTACTCTCGAAACGGTGCCGATTCCTCCCACGCAAGCTGTTCAATATCCTCAGTATATATCCGGTAGTGACACGTTTCAACAAGCTCCAACTTATACTTATACGAAACCAGGGGAACAAGTGATTTTGACGTATCCGTCACCGGTTCAGTTGCCCTCGCGCGTTCCTGGGGTGAGTAGCTATATGTAGTTAATGTTTAAACAATGAAAAATGAAAAATAAAATGAATTATTGCTTTTTAATTAAACAGAAAATAAATATTTTATTCATGCATTTTTTTGTATGTATAGAGTATAGTTTTTCTCCAGCTTTGTATACAATACGCCATTGTTACGTTAGAGCGCATGCGTTTTGTTCACAGGTAGAGTCAGGGAGCACGTATATGAAAGGCGACCCAACGTTAGCATCTTCGTTGGGAAGTACGCGTGGAGTAGCATCTCTGCATTACGAACAACCAGGATCTCCAGGATCTCAAATGACGTTGTACGGAAGCGGGACTAGTGCGTATCCATATGCCAAAGCGACTCCTTCAGCCGAATATTGGTCGACAGCAGGAACTCCGTCTCCACCTACGTTCGATTGCGTCCAGGGATACCAAACGGCAATTTCCGTCGGCGATACTAATATACTCTATTCTGGCGGTGTATACAGCGTGTCAACTGGAAACACTACGTCTTCGTGGTCTAACAATTTATCGCTATCCAGTACCGAGGAGAATTTGGACGGAATGATCATGACTGTGGATCCTAAAGAGTGTTCTAATTGCGCAATTTTGACTACTGTATTGAGGAGGGACGAAGCTGGGAATTACTTGTGCCAAAGTTGCGCCTATACAACAAACAAGATGAACGGTATAAACAGAGCGTCCATTAAATGCGGCAAACCGAAGCAAGCTGTCGCCACGGTAAATTTCATCTTTTATATCTTTCTCGAGTATGTTTTACCCTTTTTCTTTTTATCTGAATTTTTCAATCTCTCTTTCTTCATCCTTTCTTTTCTAACCTCCTACTTTTTTTCGTCTCTTTTTCTCTCTCGCTCCCTCTCTTTTCTCGTTATTTCTTCTTCTGCTCTTTCTTCCTATTTCTTGGCAAGCGTTGTCCGCGAAAAATAGAAAAAGAATCAACGTTATCTGTTACCGAGCAAACAATCGCGTCGAGACTTACTGCGATTGTTGTTTACTCTACGTCTTGAACGCTCCCATTTTCGCGTTCGTGAATTCGCGTCGCATATTACGCGATCGAGAATATTACGCACGAAAAGCGTACATTTCTCTTTCATTTTCCAGGCGGGTGTTCGAAGAACCGGTGTTCAATGCGCGAATTGCAGGACGAGCAATACAACTTTATGGCGGCGAAATAACAACGGTGAGCCGGTGTGCAATGCATGCGGTCTCTACTACAAACTACACAACGTAAGTTTGTTTATTCGTAATTCGCACATGCAAGATTTTACTCGATATAGACAGTTCGAAATGAGAACGATTTTAAGGATTTCGGCAATTCGATCACGGAATGCGTGTTTCGTTTCTCCTTTGCCTCGTGACAACCATACTTCCGATCGATTACGAAACGCGATTTCACTGAATCATCCCGCGATCCCACATCAGACGACGAATCGATTGTTTTTAGGAGTCTCGCTCTCTCCTCGAGGCGATTCTCTGTTTGTACAACTGTCGCGATCGATCACCTCCAGTTTGGAAAAATGAATCGTTACTTGTACCGAAAATTGCTTGAGATGAAGACGGAATTGATTCGCGTGTGGACAATGAATTAATTTCGGAATCAATATTGTCTCTATTAAATAACTTTGCAAAAGATTCGTGTTTTTATCATTTACGATTCTATGCACCTATTTATAAATAGGTGAATAAAAATAAAAATATAAGACGATAAATATAACAATCAAAAATTAACCTTTTATTTTTCTTCGAGATATTCATCAAATGTATGAATCTTTATAATTTCAAAGCAACAAAAAGAAAACAATAGATTGCTAATCTTTTTGATTGGTGAATAAAAAGAATAAATGAATTTTTTCGATTGGAAATGCGAGTTCAGTAAGCAGAGATTATCTTAGAGAATTCATGTGCATCGATCAGTCGAACGTGGAATCTCGATCGAAAATCGAAAACGAAACGCGGTCACTGTTTGTAATCCCGTTTACTTTCCTTACGCAATCCTTCTCGCGTGTTAATCTTGATTGCTCTCTTCTGTGATAATTCTGTTCCAAACACATCTTGGAAACATCATAATTTAGAATCGTATGGTACATCGATCTTAGATATCGACTGATTCTTGCGTTGCGCATGCGTTACGAAATCGAAAGAACGACAGTCGTAATTGTTTAACGACGTGCCAACGTATTTCTTATTAGAATTTGTTCGGTAATAATATCATTCGAAATTTTCTTTCAATAATTTTTATTTATTGATGTTTATTGTGCTTATTATGTTGTGATGCATCCTTAATTGATGCTGATCCCTTAATCCAATCGTTCGAACGATATTGATCAATGATTGCTGATAACATTGATGTCCTCTCTTTTTTTAATTCATCTTGTTTCAGTTTAATTAATTGTCAAGTTTAATTAATTAATCGTCTCACTGTTTGTCGTTCGACGCTTTTTGTTTCTATTTTTTTTTTTTTTTTTTTTGTTTTTTTTTTTCTTATACAGGTGAACAGGCCGCTCAGCATGAAGAAAGAGGGAATACAGACGAGGAAAAGAAAACCAAAAAATAATTCGGGAATAAGTGGAAATTTGGCAGGACCAAGCGGCATGCACAAGACCGAGATTAAGTCTGGCTTACTCGGTGAGTTTTCGGTGAGCAATCTGTCATTCAGTTCTTTTCGTTCGCCTTCGCCTCCCTCCCCTCCCCCCCCCCACCCCCATATCACATCGTATCAATCGTTCTGCTCTTTCTAATCGATCGATCACCTGGTGTACCTACGGGTTAAACGGATCATTGTTTCTCGATGTATTTCATGTATATTTTATTCGTATCTCTTATTTTTTTTTTTTTCTTCTTCTTCGATTAAGAAAAACGAAAACGCGTAAGTTTGCTTTTCTCTTTCGATTCTCGTTCGATTCTCGCGAAATTAAGTAAAACGCATTAAGGGTCAGAAATGGTATCGACGAATCGCGAGTATCAATCGCGGCCTTGAGCCAAAATTTGTAATTAGAATCCCGAATAGGGAGCAAAGTCCGTCGAACGAGCGAGTACCGTTTCCAAATAAACGTCGACGATTCACGCGCATGCGCGCGTTAAATGCCGATAATCTACGATCGAGATAAAGTGTTTGCTTGCTTGTCCGTGAGAACAGAAAATCTCGTGAAGGGGGTGAGAAGGGAGAAGAGCGTAACGGAGAGAAGCGAACGTGAGAGTATCAGAGTTTGATTCGAACCGTTTTGGTTTTTTTTTTTTTTTTTCTCCTTTTCTTTCTCTTAACGTTCCAGTGAACTCGATGCAGTTGAACATGTACGGGAGTGGTGGTAGTGGTAACGGGGGTGGGATAGGGACCAATGCAGAGATGAGACAAGAGACCGAGAGCGAGACAACCGCTAGCACAGGTACGAATGCAGGGAACCGGGGCGAGAATGAGACCGCAAACGGTAACGCGTTGGGAGGGAACGAAGGATCGGACGAGCGTCCACTCGTAGGTACACCGAGTACGGGAGAATCGGGTCATGCGCACTCGCCTCTCGCTTTACCCACTACCGCCGCGCTCAATCGACAGACCACCCTCATGTAAGTGTTGTCATTATGCTCGATTCGATTTTAATCCATGATCTTGATTGTCGCGCGTTCGCACTGTTCACAGTCTAACATTCTTTAATTCGTTTTCTATCTTTCAGCGTGCCACCGCTAGAGCCAATCGTTAGTCAAGCTAATAACGACATTTTCACGGTTATAACCACTACCACGGCTATCAATGTCGAGAGAACGTAACGAGGACAAAGAAAGAAATTGCGGTAAAAAAATATTTTCGAGTGTACCGATGTGTAAAATTAGCACCAACAACAATGGAATGCGAGCGCCATTCTTGCTCGTATGGTAACTAGAAGAACATCCTGCAAATCGACTGACTTTTTTACCGACAAAGATTTCTTAGCCAACTACGAACGTCGACAATTCATCGCTCAGCCTGGATATCTTCTCACGTCACATCGAGAGGGGATCGATGTTATTCCAACATCGATCTCGAATTATCTAAACGAGAAATGGTATCGATTAGCTATTGCTATTATACTATTGCCGTTCCTGCTCCTATCTTCCTTTTTCTCTGTCCATGATTTCTTTTTATTTATTTGTATTATTTTTAAAATAATTATTGAAATCGAATTGGTTGCGATTTAAATTACGTCAATTAGATTTGATTTCCAACGCACAAACTAAGCGCAATTTTATCGATTAATAATTCCGTTTTATCGACTGCAAACGATTATACCGACGGATATGGTGTTGCAATTCCATCGTACAATGTCGCCCTCTATAAGAGAAAAAACGAAGCATGTTCTTTCCAATGTTTGTCACTGTTCATCTCTGAAGATACTCGACCTTTCGCCGATCCATTAACTCTTTCACCTCGTATACCTTTGTTCTCACCCTATATCCGAGTCCTACAAAAATTTTACCGCGCATTTCGTTGTAAATACACGACGTGTAATCAACCAAAGTTGCCTTCCTTCGCGTACACCTACGTATACACGCGATGCATATGCAATATTTGCAAGCAAATATACATGTGTAATATAAAATACGATGCATCGCGTATTTGTGAAAGAAACGAGTACACGTAGGTGTGTAGCGAGGCGAATTCTCGCAAAGAATAATGTAAGTACGCGCGAAACGAAAACAACAAGATAATAAATAATAAATAATTGAACGCTAAAAAAAAGTAAAACGAAATAATATTTATTTGCTGGCGCATTGTCCGTTGAGAAATACGCAAATTCGACGATACGCACAACACGAATAGGAAATAATTTGAATCGATTCGATGCGTTGTAAGATCGTTACGGAACTGCCTATTAATTTTGTA